TTTCCCCTGTGCTCATGTGGTCATCTGTCTGATATGCCTGTGGGTGGAGGTGGGCAGAGAGGAAGGGAGTGGCTAGTCACCGGCGACAAAAAAGAGCCATGAGGTCATTGGAACCCGTGCTTTCCTTGCTGACCATTGGCAGCAATTGTCTTACTGGCTTGCGTTCCCAGGGGTTCATCTCCGCTCCCACGGCGGGCTCTGATACTGGGATTCCTGCTTAGGACATACATTTTTTTTTTTTCCTCTTCCATCTGAAAATATGCCATGACAGCCAAATAAGAGGTATATCATTTGGTAAGAAATTTGAGATTTAACTGTTTCCAACTTCTGATGACATCTCCCTCAGGCCTGGTCCTACCTGAGACACCACCCCATCTCATAACTCTCTGCCCAGGCACCCAGGATCTTCGGTGGCATCTTCCTACTCTTCCACTATCAGATCTACAGAATCAGCAAGAACTAAGAATCCGTTGATAAGCAGACCACTCCAGGGGTTCTGCTGCACATTGAGCTAGTGAATAGTTGAGCCAGCTGTTCTCTAAGGACAGATTTAGCTCTAATATTCTAGATAGAAGTGTTCTGAGCGATGACAGCCTGCAGGGAATACCTACACAGCCTCCCACTTGTACAGGTGACTTAGTAACCATTAGGTCTCAGCCTTCTTACTCTGTGATTCTCTACCTTGACTGTTGTTAGAAATGTGTGGGTTTTAAAAATTACACATAATATGGTTTCCAAGCAGAGGTTAGATGTGTGTGGGTTTTTGCCTCTTCTCAAAGCAGCAAAAAAACACTCTGGAATCTCCAGCAGTGGTTCCAAAGAGTATGTATTGGAATCTGGTCATCTCTTGGGGTTGTCTCCCTTACGAGGGTCAATCACTTGGCACCAGAGAAGACAAATAGCCTTCTGAACAAAGTGGTGTGGGACCCCAGGACTTACCCTGGTAACTTCCTTTGAAAGTGCAGCTCAGTGGGTTATGGGGCCCAATGGATTATGATGGAGGATATGGCTGTTTGGGTGGTGGGTGTGGTGGGATAACATATATCTGAGGTGTGAGACTATACCCCTAAATCATATACGGTGTTGTAAACCAACATTATCTTAAAAAATAATATTCTCTCTCTCTCTCTCTCTCTCTCTCTCTCTCTCTCTCACACACACACACACACGCACACACACACAAAATTAAAAAAAAAGTGCAGTCTCCCTGCCTAGGGAAAGGGATATATTCAGATACTACTTTGGGTTCCAATATGGTCAAAGAAAGCTGTGGACCCCTAGGGCAGATCGATCTCTGTGAAGACAGGAGAGTGGAGATTCTGGCTCTGTAGCTAGCAGAACTGGAAGTGAGTCTGACTTAGGGTCTGGCTCAGCTGGTGACCCAGGAGGAGGCTGTATAGATGAACTGCTATATTAAGAGATCAGGCTAGGGGACCCTGGGCCAAGGTGAGCAAAGGGGAAGGTGGAAATCCTTTCTAGAAGGGCCACCCGCTGGGCCTGAAAGACTGCTAGGAGAGGCTGTCAGGCACCAGCTGAGACTGGAGTAGGACAAGTGTCCAACAGTGACACCACGAGGCAGTGAGAAGTCACAGCACAAGTTAACGATAATTGCTAACATTTCTCAAGATTATCTGTCCAGTGTTAATCTAAGTGCCTTAATTCATTTATTTAATAGCAATTAAGTAATTAGTAACAATTCTGTAAGGGAGTCATTAGCATCCCATTACACAGAGAAGGAAGGTGAGGCACATATGTTATACAATTAGAGTAGCTGCCAGCTGAGGATCAGGTTTGGGGGCTCCAAGGCCCCTAGCCCTGACTGCTAGTCAGGTCTTGCTGCCTGCACAACATAGCCCTCTTGAACTGGGACTCGCTAAGTGCTCTTGTGTTCTCAGTGTCTTTCAATTCTCACCACAATCATGTGAGGTGGAAATGTCTTTTATTTCCACTTCACAAATGCAGAAAGTGAGGCGCTGGGAAGTTGAGTAGTGGACTGCTCATCACCCATTCTCTTCCCTCTGGGGATGGAAGCGGGCTGAGTGCACCCCAGCTCCTTTGCTTTTTGCAACTTCTAAGTCTTTAGGGTCCTCTGAAAACTGAAGTCCTGGTGGGAGTTTCACCAGGGGATACTGGGGGCTTGCCACAATAAAACATGTGCACTTCTCAGCGAGGAACTAAAAATTCTATGATGAGGTGGCAATATTTCTGCCTCCCAATTTGTGAAAGCTGCTCATATTCATTTCACGGGACCTACCCCAGATTTACATGAAGGGTGGGCCCAAGTTATGTAAATAAAAACAAAACCAAAAACAAACCACAGGTGATTCTGGCACTCAACCAGGTTGAAAATTATTGACTTTATTTCATAGTCATATTTCACCGTCTGCAAGGAGCAGGCAGCAGTGTTTCCAGGGGCTGTTTCTAGTTTTCAAATCCTCTTGTACGAAAGAAACCTCCAGTGGCTGTTGGCCTGAGGGAAGGAGCTGGGTAAGGACTGAACAGAGAATTCAAACCCTAGGGCCACAACTTATTGCCAAGTACGCCTGGGTCATGCCCTCCTCTGGCCTTCTCTACTTGCATCATTTATGTTCTTCAAACCCAAATGTCTTACTCTTGGTGAATACTTCCCTGGTCTAACTTCCTCTCCTCCAGCCTCACCCCACCAAAGAACTGCCAAGGTGGGAGCCCACAGCACAAATCTCCTCAGAGCCCCGCCTACCTCATCCCTTCTGTGTTCCCCTGCACCACCAGGAAGACACACTTGTAGAACTGGGTGTTAATTGTGTTCACCCACCCTGGCCTGACAGGGTGCCTGGGACAGGAAGTGCAAGCTGATGAATATAGGATAAGGACGATGGCAAGAGAAAAGAAGTGGAATAAGAAACACAAAAACGGGCAAAGTGATGAACACAGGCAGAGGATGGTCAGTGCAATCTGATTTAGTGCTGACCCCTTGAGCACATGTGACCTTTGCTCTGATCCAAGAGATGGGAGAGCCTGTTCCGCACTCACCTGATCCCCCTGGACTGTGAGCACAAGGTACCGAGAGAGAGGCAAGGGCATTTATAACATCAACAGAAATCATTTCTTGATCTCTACTAACATTTACAGCATAGGTAGGATAGATGCTAATTATTTCATTTTACAGCTGAGCAAACTAAGGCTCAGAAAGCTAATGAACATGGCTAAAGTCACAGGGCTAGTAAACAGGGAATGAGTTCATGCAAATTCATTCCTAGGCTAAAGGAGCTCAGATTCTTAAGGTTGAAAGACTGCTCCAACAGTCTGGTCAGTGGTGCCCCTCTCCCTGTCCTATAACAGTTCCTCTTCTTCAAAATGTCACAGGGGAGGGGTGATGGAGCTGTGATGAATGAAGTCTACGTTGGGGGTTCCTGCAACCGCTGCAGCTTGGCAGGACCAAATGGAAGTTCCTTCTTATACTAAGAGGTGGTCGGTTGCACAAACGCATTAGCTCAACGCTCTTCTCCAGCAGACCCATAAAAAAACAGGTGCCCTTTCTACTTTCAGCTCTTCTCTACCACCCTGGAGATGCCAGAGCCAGCACCCTGGATTGAGTGCAGTGCTGCTTCCCCTTCCTCACAGCACTTTCAGCAGAGTGTGCAGCTGGGAGATGACTCACTCGGTGAGTCACCCTTTGCCTCTAGGGATCTATTTCTTTGTTAAAGTATATCAAAGAGGAGCATCCTCTGCTTCTCTCCTCTTGCTCAAGAGAAAGTAGAGCATCTCAAAGTATCTCAGTTCAAAGGGATTTACTCATACAACCTCATACTAAAAATGTACTCACAGCCTAGAAGACATCCAGGTGAGCTGGACTTTTAAGAAAGGAGAGAGCTACAAAATGAATTGCTTCATGCCTGGGGAGTAATGATTAAAAACTGGTATCTCTATGGTCTTTAGGAGTTGAAAAGGTCCTTTCATTTCAGCTTTTGCAGCCCATCAAGGCAGGTAAGAAAGGAGTGAAGATGCATGCGTGTATGCACCAAGAATAACAGTTATCAGGGTTTCACAGCTGGTGAGTGGTAGAATCAGGACTTGCTCCCAGGCCTCCTGGGTCAGAGGTCAATGACTCTGCCCACAAGTGTCTGACAAAAGCAGGCCTTCTGGAGACCACCCAGGTGCTGACAGCACCAGGCACTTACGTGTTTCAGCCGGGGCAGAGTGCTGGCCTCCCATCTGGGACTGGAGGCAGCACTTCAGAGCCTGGCGCTTTATTGTATTCTATCTTATCTCAATAGGAAAAGGCAATTCAGGGGAAGAATTTCCTTGTCACGGTGCTCAGGCTTTCCATTGTCCAGTTCTCTGGGCTCTGGTTCATCCCCTGGCTCTGACCATTACTCACATCCATGGAGGCGCCTTATCAGGGCTGTCGAAGATATGGGGCCTATTTTTTTCCAGTACCAGACAAACTGGAATGTGTCCACCCTTTGTGCCTGACATCATCCCACAATTAGCCAGCTCAGAGTCCAGCCATGCTGGGTGGGAAGCTGCTTGAAAAGCAGTTCCTAGGGCCTCCCCTGGTGGCGCAGCAGTTGAGCACTGGGTTGCGAAGCTGCCCACAGCCTCTGCAGCGCTGCTTTGATCGGCCACTGGGTGAGGGTCCCACATGGCACCACAGACCTCTCCTGCCGCCCGCTGCTCTCCTCAGCAGTATATTTCATCATTCTGCCTGCTCTGTTCCCAGCTCTGGCTCTGGTGAATTCTCTCACCCTCCTGTGCTTCTGACTGTACCCAGTGCTTGTATAAATAAATAAATAAATAAATAAATGTTTAAAAAAAAAAAAGGAAAAGGAAAGCAGTTCCTAGTAACTTAGCTGTTTCCTTCACAACACCCTGATTTCAGAGTCCTTTACTGACTAGTGTGATAGAGTCATCTCGTAGTAGAGCTAGCTGACTGCGAGTCTCTCTGCCCCTCCAATTTCTAACTATGAAAAATGTAACCTATAGGAAAGTTGAAAGAATAATGCAATGAACAAACTTACACTATCCATCTGGATTCTCCAGCTGGTCCCATTTTGCCACATTTGCTTTATCTTTTCCTCTCCTTATAAATATATACCTGAAAAACATATTTTTTTCCATCAGATCATTTAAACACGTCAGAGCACATGGGGAAATCCTCTGGGTTCTCCTCAAGTTGTTGAGTAATCAAAACAGAACCAGACAGGTTAGCAAAGTAAAAACCAATTTAACTGCAAATGGGGGGCAGAGTTATAATCATTATGCTGGTCCTACGTTTAGTTGGAGAGAAAGAGGTTTAAGAGGATAAGAGGATAAGGGGGTACAGAGCACTGAGAAGAAAATAGGGACTCTTACATGATGGGGGCAGAGTGATGACATCATCTTTACTCTTACAGATGTATTTCTCAGACCGAGAAGACACTGAAAAATCTATACCTGGGTGATACCCCCAAACTACATTCTTCTGGGTCATTAGAGGGAGCAGTGGTCAGTTCTTCAATTAGGGGTAAGGCAAAAAGATTAGGGGGAAGGAAAGAGCTTCTTCTTGGCCTCCAGGAAATCTGCTGTTCTCAGTTTGAAATAATCTGCAAGTCAGAGCAGGGAATCTTGAGACCAAATCTGATGATGGTATAGTCTAATTTGAGCACCTTCAAAAGTATGTTACCAAATTATACTTCAAAATAGTTCAGGTACATGCTAGGCATAGGGCATCCCTCTACACAATCATAATACTATCACCACTCTCAGGGAAAGAAACATGTTAGCTAACTTACGCTGCATATTCAAATTTCCCCAAATGTCCCAGTAATCCCATATAGCTTCTCACCCCTCCCTTTTATATTCCTCAACTAGAACAATTCTCTGGTCTTTGTCTTTCATGATATTGCCATTAAAAAAAATCCAAAGTAGCTGTTTTATAGACTATGCCAGTTTTGATGTCTGATTGTTTCCTCAAAAGTAGATTCCAATCAAAATATTTTGGCAAGAGTATGTCACAGTAGATGTAGCCTGCTCAGGATTACAGCAGGAGGCACATGCTGTTAGCTTCTCCCATTTGGTAACGTGAATTTGATTACTTGGTTAAGGTGGTATTGTCCACATTTCACCATTGTAAAGAAAGCCATTTCCATTTGTAATTAATAATCTGTGGGGAGATACTTTGAGACAAGGTGAATATCTTGTTCCCAATAACCTTTCACCCAACACTTTTGACAACTATTAAAGTGCTTAGCTGTCAATTACTATTGTAGTGAATTGCTTTTTCAACTTATTTTAATCCAATTTTAAAAGAAATACAAACTCATTATAGAAAAGACGTAAAATACCAAAAAGCATAAAGAAATATAATGTTTTCATACACACAATTTAAGGAAAAAATACATGTATCAATAAATAGCAGAGTTACTTATAAGTTTCCCTTTTTCTAATGTTTACATGGATTTTATTTGGGGGAGGACCTATGTGTTTATAGTTTGTTTTGTCTATATAATAGATATACACCAAAAGAAAAAAAATTATAAAGTATTAAAAAGCATTATAAAGGGTGAAATTATAAAAACATCCAAGAGTTACTTATATATTTCCTTTTTCATATGCCTCTTTTCTTATTCATTCTAAGACCTCTCCAAAAAAAAAAAATCTGTCCTTTTTATTTTCTTGTCCTACTTTGAAATAGCAACTCAGCTGTCATATTTTCCTAGGAGCTTTCTCCTGCCTATTTCCCCTGGATGAGAGTAGTTTCTATCTGATCTCCCATTATCTTTCTCTGGTCTTATGGGATATGACTGGCAATGAGCTAGAACGATAGCAGTTGCCTGAGCCAAGGGAGTTCTCCTGGAATAAAAGGTGTTTATGCCGCAAACTTTAAGGAGAGTATTTAGGGGAGCTATTTCTTAATTGGGAGGATGCATTTAAATGTTTCCAGCGTCAGGAAACCACTACTACAAGAATTCACATAGTCCATTCACAATGGACTATAATAACTTCTAAGACTCTTCTGACCTTAAAGTAAACAATTAAAAATAATTGCTAATGGTAGCGGGCACTCTCTTGTGTTCTACTATTGTTACTTGACATTGCCTTTGGTAGACTTTTTTTTTTTATTATTACTGTGTTATAACTGGGAATTCATACTGTGAGAATGAGCAAGTCACCTAGGCATCAAATTTTTATATTAAGGTAATTCAGGTCTGTTCTTCAGGCTTTGATTTTATAATTATTTAGGTTTAATGGTAAAATATTACTGCTTCATTAAAATATGTTTAATCTTTCTCAACAGTACAGTTTTGGAGTTTATCTCACTGCTTCCCTATTTTAAATAGTTTTGAAATTAAATAGATTTTAAATCATCCAAATAGATCAGTATGGTAAGTAGTTTCCTTAGAGTGACATTCCTCAGGGAGTGGTCTTGGATCATTGTAAGAGTCACTTTAGGAACTTGCTAAAGATTTCCAGTCCTAGGAAATCACCAGAGTTGGAGTCTAAGAAACTGAATCTGTACAGGTATCTGACAAATCAGAGCTTTAGGATATACACATTCCCCAAAGTGCAACTGCTAGTCAGAAGAGCTAAGGAATTGTACTTTTCGTACAAGGCCAGGGTATCCTCGCAAAAGATTGTGGAGGAAGCTACGGTGGGTGTGGGGCCCTTGTTCCTTTTAGACTAGGTTGTGAATTTAGGAAATCCCTGAAACTTGCACTGGAGGGACATACAGGAGAAGTAAAGGATAAAGGGCAAGGTCAAGCCCAGTGCAGAGGAGTAGAACTTGCCAGGCTACCCTGAAGGCAGATGTAAAGTAGAACAGTCTGGAGTGAGAAGGTAGGTTCTACTGTAGCTCAGGAATAAGGCGTAGCCAAGGAGTCCTGGCACCAAGGTTGTACAGCAACCTACAGCTTGTGAAGCTAGTTCTTAATACAGTTTTCAATACACCAGTGGCCCTGTCCTAGCTCCTGTGTCTCATCTTAGCTGGAGATAATCCAGACGAGGAAAAAAAGTATAATCTTATATAATTTTATAGTTGGAAAACATATTTAAAATCAAACCTAATGAAGAAGAATTGTAAGAACAATTAAAACCGGTCTACACACACAGAGGACAGTGGGTCTGAGTAGAAAAACTGTTGCTTTTCTTCATAAGCCATTTGGAATAATCTGTTTCTCTTTTTAAAAATCATGTACCTAAACTACCTTTTCTTTCCCCCCTAGGCAAAGAACTTCATTAACCTTTGTTTTAAACATTATTTCCAGGCTTCTTCAGCTTAATTAGCTGCAAAGAATGAATTGTGGGGGCCTCCCTGGTGGCGCAAGAGGTTAAGTCTCAGCACTATGAAGGTATTGCCAGCCACTGAAGCATGAGGTCCAACCCTGGCCAAGGAGCTAACCCACATGGAGCAGCAGACCTCCTGTCTCACCCGCTGTTCCCCTCAAGTGTGTTTCCGTCAATCTGCCTGTTCTGCTCCCCACTCTGTCTTAGTGAATCCTCTCACTCCCCTCACCCCTGGCCTACACCCCAGCTCTTATATGCATACATTAATAAAATATTTTAAAAAATGAATTGTGTATAAGTGCAAATTGAAAAGAGCTGCAGTGTCCAAGGAGCTCAAGTTCAAAAATATTAGAGATCTAGATTTTACCAGGCCCATGAACAAAATTTTAAAAACAGTCATAAAATAGCAGCTCCCAATAACTTCAAGTTTTATCTTCTTCCAAAGTTGTCTCAATTCAGTTTGCTTCATTCTTGGAAACCTCATCAAAATTCTCCCCAAGACCTGGAACTTCATTATCATCCTTCTCTCCACTAGCAAGCGGTGCTTATCTAGTAGCAAGAGGTGCTTATCTATTCACGGACTGGTGGACAGTTTCAGTCTCCTTAAACGAGTCAGGCTGTCTGCCCTCATGAAGCTGCTTTATTTAAGATTCTGCCAGCATTCTGTTTTGTTTCAACATGGCCTGTAATAGTGGAAGTGTTCGCTGCCAGAGATGCCTGAACTTTAGGGTTGTTAAAGTGGGTTGCTGTTCCTTCGTTTGTGAACACAGCCACCTTTTCAATACCAAAGACAGTTTACTCCTGACTTCTCCAAGAAGAACTTAGGGTTTTAATCATCTGCTGTTGCTGTTCAATCAAGCACCTTCTTTCTGAGAACAGTAACTTCCCTAACAATGCGTCCTTGTGCCTGCAGTTGGCGTTTCTCCTGGTTCATACTAATGTTTCCCCTTATTGCATCCTCAAAGGGTCCGCGCGTCGGTCTGGGGCCGAAGCTCAGGCGAATTGGCTCAGCCCAGCTGTGTGTGTGTGTGTGTGTGTGTGCACGCGCACGCGCGTGCAAAATAGCAGCGAGATTCTGAACTACTTTGATTAAATATCCGTGAACCTAGAACGATCTACAATGCACTACAAAGAATGTTAAACGGTCTCTACGCTACGGTGCAATAATCTTGTAATTATCTCCTTAAAAACAGCGCTATGACTAAGGTGGGCGATTATGGGGGCGTGGGCGGGGGGTGTGGCGTGCTCTATGCTTTTGTAAAGGTGTGCACCTATACCCCTAAAACATTTACAATGTAGTAAAGCAACGTTACCCCAATAGTCATAATTACCATTAAAGAAAGCAAAACCACCACTGACGCTGTGAAACGCACGCCAGGAGGTGTCCCCGCTGCGGGCCGCGGGTGGGGCGGCGCGGAGCTCGCGGGATTCACGCGAGCAGCGGGAGGCAGCGGCTGCGCAGTGCGCACGCGCGGGGCCGCGCGCCGCGTCTCTTCCCGGAAGTCCCGGGCGGCGGTTTAAGGGAACTTGGGGGGGGGGGGGGGGGTTGGCGGGGGGGGGGGGGGGGGGGTTGGCGGGGGGGGGGGGTTGGCGGGGGGGGGGGGTTGGCGGGGGGGGGGGGTTGGGGGGGGGGGGGTTGGCGGGGGGGGGTTGGCGGGGGGGTTGGCGGGGGGGGGGGGGTTGGCGGGGGGGGGTTGGCGGGGGGGGGTTGGCGGGGGGGGGTTGGCGGGGGGGGGGGGGGGGGGGGGGGGGGGGGGGTTGGGGGGGGGGGGGTTGGCGGGGGGGGTTGGCGGGTGGGGAGGGAAAGGCGGCACGAGCCAGAGGCAGGCCTCACGGTGCCAACCGTGGCTCCTCGCTTCCCCACTCGCAGTGTACGGCGAGCTGGCCACTTCCCCGCCGGGCGCCTGTGGGTGAGCCCAGTGAAGGCTGAAGAGGGACGAGCCGCCTGACTGCCGACCGGGCTAAGCCCGCCGCAGCCACAGCTGCGGACGCCGGCGACCGGGAAGGGGAGCGCGAGGCCCTCCGCTGCCCCACCGCCCGCTGGTAGAAAATTGACGCCGGAAGCGGAAGGGGAGGCCAAGGTCTCCGGCCGGCAGATTAGTCAGCCCGAAGGCGGCTGGCGTTAACGGTCCGCTGAATGACGTGTCCGGTCCCAGAGCAGTCCCGGCTGCCGGCCGCCTTGTTCAGCTTTCAGATTTAGGTGAAGAAAAACGAAGTCAGAGGCTCTCTAGCTCATCGGATTTAGCACCATTTCTCCATTCTCTAAGATCGTCCCTCTCCCCATGAGGACTTATAGAATAATGCCGACGGGCCCATGTAAACTTTTTGAAGAAATCTTCCTCAGCCTTGCACCAAATCTTGAGTTCGTTCAAGGCAGAGCTTCTGTGAAAAAACGTTGACTTGGGGACTTTCCCAGTGGCCTAGGGGTTAAATCTAGGCACTGTCACCACTACATCCTGAATTTGATCCCCCGCCAGGGAGCTACCCACATGGCAGGGCAGACCTCTCCTGTCTCCCCCGCTGCTCCCCTCAGCAGTGTATTTCAGTCAGTCTGCCTGTTCTAGTCCCCACTCGGTCTCTGGTGAATCCTCTCACACACACCCCCACCCCCCATCTCTGGCCTGTGCCCCAGGTCTTGTATGCATAAATAACTCTTTAAAAAAAAAAATCGACTTGGACATTAGAGAAAACAATGTAAATTTGAAGCGTAGAAGAGTAGAGCATTGCCGAATTGGGAAATGGAGGTGGATGACTAAGGGACAAAAAGAAGTGAAGAGAATCTTGGAAGTGTTGACAATTAGTCTTGAGACACTCCTAAACACCTCTTTTTCCTAGTGATTAATATGGATTTTTTTTTTCCCCCTTGCGCTGGAAAATATTTTTCATGTAAGGACGGTTCACTTAAAACCTTCATTTTAGTAGTTTAGCAGGAATGAGTCTTGACCAAAATTACCTGTCAATAATAGAGCCTGTTAGTATTTTAAACAGGTGAAGGACATGACACGAATCCCCAGATTTGGAAACAAGATCTTAAGGTTTTCAGTATGAAATGGGATCTGCAAAATTTTTAAATGTCAAATGTTGTAATCTCGTCATGTTGCATTAAACATGGGATCTTTGTAACACCGGATCTTAAACAGTAAAATCTAAACAGAAAGGAGTATATGTTACAATAAAACCTTTTTTCAAGGTATATCTGAAATTTTTCTTAACAGTATAATGTCGCTGAGAGTTGAAAAAGATGCCAATCTTTTTTTGTGGGAAACAAAAATTCACTGGCATATTCATAAAAGGGAAAAATCCGGCCTAACTTTTCATTTTACAGATGAGAAAGCCATGACCCAGAAAGGGAAGTGACTTGACAGGGATCACAGTGAACCTGACCTGGGAATTGGAGCTTAGCCATGCTTCTTTCCTACTGCTTCTCCCTACTCTTTAGGGGCACTCACACCATTGTAACAACCATAGTGTGAGCACAGAATCAGAAGGCGCACATAAACCTCTTCATTATAATGAAGTACTGCTGGGAGAGAAGGGTTTTGGTTCTTCAAAATCTAGACAGGATTTTAGGAAAATCTTTGTGATCAGAGCGATCCCTAAATCTTAAGACTTCTTTGGGAGATAAAATGGCTAAAATCCTTCCCCTCCCCCTCGCCCCCCCCCCCGCCCCCTGCTGCCTGGAACTTAAGCAGAGACTGGATAACCACTTATTGGAATTGTAAAAGTTACATCCCACTGTCTATGGGCTATAATTGTTTACCAATTACCTTTCAGTGCATATCTGGTGAAGTACACGGAGGAAGGAAACTAATCTCTCTCTCGTCATTGTCGAATTTGAGTCAGGTGTTGTGTGTTTCGTGTATCATATGTTAGTTCACTTAGTCTTCACAACAATCTTTCTTGATAGGTATTATTCTTAGTCTGCCTCAGGAATTCACAAAAGTTAAGTAGCATGCTCTAAGCCATGCAGAAAATGGGCAGCATAGCTAGGGCTATTATACCATCTCGCATCTCCAGGTGAGTGAACAGGAGAGGATGATTAGTTTGTCCTCTAGCTTTTGCCCCGGGTAGGAAACCTTTGGCACTGTTCAGGGAGTCTTCAGAGCAAATAACTCCCATTATCCTCTGAGTAGCAGCAAGAGATGAAGCTACAGTGGAGGCCCAGGGCAGGGGCACTGTAGGAGAAAGGCATTTGGTTGCTACCTCTTCACAAAGGCTCCAGAGTTCCAGAGCTTTACATAACAGGCAGATTCCCACTGAACAATGAGGCTAAACCGTGCTTCCAAAATTCCCAGTTTAATAGTTCACTTTGGAAGAAGAGACTTGGGATTTAGCTCTGAGACAAACTTAGAACATGATCATGGGATCTGGTTTGTGAAGGAAGAGACTAAGATGATGGGATCTAGGGGGACAGGAAACATCTGGAGCTTAAGTAGTTCTTGCTGCTCAAAGTCAGTGAGATCATCTGATGTCCTGGGGTGAATGGTCATTTCCTTCAGACCCAACCAATTTCTGATGCCTCACACAGCACGAGTCAGCCTCTCATTGAGAGAGGATGTGCTAAAGGCAGATTCCAGAGATGTTATCCGATTCCCACGTCTTCTTCCTTTCTAAAGATGAGCTTTTCTCCAGCCCTTCTGTTGCCACTCAGACAAGCATGGACCCCATGCTCATACTGTATCCATATCCATACCGCATTTCTGCTTTCTGTAAACTTTTGGGTTGGAAACCAATCAGCTGTCACCTACATGAAGCATGTCAGTCACCTTACTCATGTATCTTCCAGGACTACCAATTAACCACCGAATTAAGTACCAGCTCTGTAGTGCCCACAGTCTGGTTCTTTCTAGCCTCTTCATGCCCTCTAGAGCCCATACCTCACCCTTCAGTCTGGACATGTCAGATTGCTCCTTCCTTGTCTAGATTCTATCCTTCCTTGCTTTCAATCCTCTGTACAGTTTAAACTGTTGGAATGCCTCCCACCCCACCTCATCCAAATCTTCATTTTCCCTCAAAATATAGCTTCAGTAATTAAGATTACAATACAAAATTGACTGTAGCAAATTCATTACAAGATAGCTGGGGACCAAAGCAGTTGGATAAAGGGTAGAAATGAGGTGGCTTAAGTTCACTGCTAACTCAGGGGTCACCCAGGAGATTAAGATCTCTGCAGAGACCTGTAGAACCAACCCATTTCCCCGAGGCACCCTCTTCATCATGCTGCTGGGACTTGCACTCCCTCATAGGAGAAGCTGGGCAGCTGCAGCTGAGTCATACAGGCTGCCAGGGGCCAGCCAGGAGCACAACTGTGTTTCTTGGCATTTCTCCCAGTTCCCCTGGTGGCAGACTTCTGTGATTATGCTGGGATTCATATATAGCTCTGTGCTCCACAATGAGATACTTTAATTCACTCAATCAGGATTTATTCACTCTAGTGTTCTGCCCACCCTAGTCCCACTCCTTGCATCCTCCCCCTTCCCCATCATCACAGCATCAAAATAGTCCTAAAATGGGATTATTGTCCTTAAATGTAACACCCCCTGCCATGCCTCTTACACTCTGCATGCTCTCATTTACTTCCTGTAGAGTCAGTCCACACCTGATTCCCTCGGCACATACCTTGCCAGGACGGAGTAAGTCCTGGTACCTAGGATGATTTGCTTTGCTTGCCCGTGCAGTACCGGTGATCTCACAAACTTCTGATTAACCAACCAGTCCAAGCTCTACCTTCCAGATGAAAATCTGAGTGGGTGACGGGAGGGCAGTTGTTAAGTCCCATCAGAACCTCTGAGTATGTCCCAGACCCCCATGTGTGGGCCCACTAGTTTCATTTCCTGGGCTTAGCCAGGTCTTGCAAAACAGGGCTCTGCTGAGATCCAAACACATTAGCTCTTAGTAATGAAACCATTTCTGGGACCTAGTAGATATTCAGACTTTGGCTGAATCTATAGGCAGAGGGAAACGAGGGTCCATTTTCCTTTGGATGAAAGTTTGTATTATTGTAAGCAAGAGTGGTTGTGGACTTATAATCTTTGGAACAAACTCGGCATGTCCAGGTCTGTCCACACAATACAAAGTCTTAGCTGCATTCTGAGCCATGATGCAGACTAGCCAAACTCAGTGACAACTTCTGGTTCCTCGCTTTCATAGGCAGTCTCTGCAGAAGCTGAAATGAATCCCTGCTCAGTCCTTGACAAATGCTTGATATTGGCCTTGAGTTGATGGGCTGGCTCCAGAAGGCACTACTCATCGGAAGGCAAGTCCACTGACCTCATAGAGAATCTGTGCACCTGGGATCTGAGCATCTCTATGTTGTTTTTGTTCATTTCAAGGTTTACATCTTCAGGGTCCCACTGTGGAGAAAAGACATAAATGGTATCTTGAAGGAAAAGACCTTCCCAATCTCTTCCAATACCTCATCCCAAACAGCTCCTAACCTGGTTCACATGACCCAGGCACTTACAGAGAAGGAGAAACAAGTGATGACAGGTGAACTAGGCCTGTGATTTTCACGCCTGGTGGGGCAAGCCTAACTAAATCAAGGAATTAATGGACAGCTACCCTGAACAGCCCCACTGCCCTTCCCACCTTCTTTCCCCCTGTTTTCACCAAGTCCTCTAGTGAAACTAAGTCATGTTCCTTTTATTCTGGGCACCTCCATGACTAACTCATTCCTGGATCAGGCAAAAACAACCCACATTTTATGGCCCAAGCAAGTACCCCCTCTTCTAGGATGTCTACTCCGACTGCTATTTGCCCATTGAGCTCTCACCCCCTCTCTCTCTGTACTGCATATACCACTCAGTTTCAGCTGGCAAGGACAATGCTACCCTTTCTGGGCATGCGCCTTGTCCTCTCAGGTAGATGGTGAGCTCTGTAAAGCAGGATGCGTCTGCCCTTGCCCTTCACATGGTGTTTCCTCTAAACTGCAGGTTCACAGACATGTCAAAAACAAGTAAAGCCTCACTTGGAGTGGTGATGACTGCTAGTGATTATTTAATCATTTTGACTCAGTAAGTATGGGAACTGAAATTAGTAGGGGTAGGAGTAAAAGGTTAAAAGAAGAAGTGGACACATGAGCATTGATGAAGCTGTTTCCAAAGTTCTATTGCTCAAATATGATGGATGAGAAAGAACTTCACACCTGGCCAAGAGCATGGGAATTTTTCGTGATCCCAGCCACAGAGGTAGGAGGCGGGAAGGTTCAAGTCTTCCTTCTGCCACTAACTTGCTTCCTCTGTGAGTTTTGGTTTCTCTGTGTGTAAGCTGGGATACTACATAAGCAACTAGTCATACAGTCTCTTTCATTTCAGAGTTCCTGTGACTGATGATTCTGAGTCATACAATCACATTCCACAGTATTAAAAGACCCAGGAAACAACAAAGCAAAGGTCCCTGAGGATGTTTTTCCCCTGGTGAATCTATTTAGACAACGCAAGTAAACAGAGCCAGGCATAGACACGCACTCCAAGAAAAAGGCTCCACTAGCTGCTATACTCAAGCTGAATCACAGAGATCAGCCATTAGAGGTTCTACATAAAGTATTTAGGACTCCCTGAGCCATGAACAAATAATGCCCACATCGAACCAGTGAGAAAGCACAACAGGCATTGCTACTGAAGCAGAACAGGAAGATCTACTGAAATACACTGCTGAGGGGAGCAGAGGGCGAGACAGAAGCGGTCTGCTGCGCCATGTGGGTCAGCTCCCTGGCCAGGATGGAATCCATGCTGCAGTGGCTGGCAATAGCTTCATAGTGCTGGGACTTAACCCCTTGAGCCACCAGGGAGGCCCCTCCTCTCTTCTCTGATGATGGACACATGTGCTTCTGATGAATGCTGTTTTCAAGCTGAGGCTGCATTCTACATCATAGTTCTCAGCGTGTGCTCTGGACCAACCACACCAGACGCAATCCAGCTACTCATCAAAATGGCCGATGTGAGGGGTCCACTCTGTTCCCTGTTTGTGCGTTGGAGCCCACAATTTGGCATGTTAAAATCTCCTGAGGTCATTCTCAGCATCCCTTATGTTTCAGAACCACTGCGCTGGCACCCGAAAATGCTTTGTGAGAGTTATTCTTGCTATTCCTGAGCAATTCAGCTGTTAGCAAACAGAAAGAGCTTGCCACTTTGATTGGGTGAGCTCTTTGAAGAGGTTTAAGCCTTTGAAAACATTTAAAATCTCTTTCTTCTGAATTCCAAGGGTGTGTTTTAAAATCTCACTTTAGTAAAAACACTGCTGGAATCCAGACATAAGGAGAATTTGAGCAAATTATGCTCTACTCTTCATCAGCACAACCCTGGGAGATGGAGGCCAGGCATTGTCAGAAAACATGAGTTCGTCTCCCTCCTGGAGGCGAGGGTGGCGTGGAGATGGCAGCCAGCTGGCCAGGGTCTCAGGATAATAATGTGGGGACGTGTTTGCCCCATCAACCACTGCACCTACTTCCAGCACCACTATTTGTAGCTGGAAACTATTCTGCTTGGTCATAAAACAAGTTCATGTTCCAAACCATGTTTTTTCCTGGGGTCATGCACCTTCTTTGAGTCCCTCCTGATGGTTTAGGAAAGCATCAGGAGAGCCCAGAAAATTTCCCGATTCTCTTACTTGCCTCTCAGTTTTCACATTCACTTTTTTTCTAAAGGAATTTGGCCTGGACCCAGCTACCCTAGGGGGTCTTACAAAAACAGGAAGTGAAGTCAAGCCACAGGAAGTCCCTTTGGGAACAGAGAGAGCATGATTGTCCATACCTGCTCCGAGTTTAGGGCTTCCCAATACTTCTGCTGCAGAATAAAAAGAGAGATAGAAAAAAGTGTTGGCTTGATTTTACCACCATCACAGAGCAGAGCAGAGCTCAGCGCTAGTCCCTGTCTGCTCTGAGAGCCAGGAGGCAGGCCCTCAGCTGGTCTGGGGGAAAAGGAAAAGCAGACTTCAGCAAGCAGAAAAGCAGGTGCTGCTAGCAGCTACAATTTACTTAAATGTTCAATAGGATAATGGTGATAATTATGAAGGGCTGTTGGTCCTTAGGAAAATTATAATCTATATAGATTTAAAAATTACTATTATTAGAAATTATTGTTATTAAGTATCATAATAAATCCATTTATTAACCACATGGCTGAGATGAGTCAACATAAACCCATAAAATGAAGAAAGAGAAATGCAAATAAAATCTCCACCTTGAAAAAATGGGGTATTTGCTACCAGACAAGATGCCAATTTTAATCAGCCTTTACTGCACAGTTGGTGACACTCCAAGCCTCAAATATGTCTGAGTCAGAGTTTTGAAGGGCGGCACCATGGTTTACTCTCTCCTCCGGCACCTCATGCAGTCCTGGGAGACTGTGTTTCTGACACCCATTTATGAATCTGCACATGTCTGTTATATTGATCTATTACTGTCTGTTTAACTGCATAGCTGTCAATCTGAACATCCCATAGGATTTGGGATTATTGTTCTGTTAAAACAAAGCTTACTGTTCAATTCTTTTAAATTTCCATTTTAAATAATTTTTAATTATGTTTTTCAATCATATGCAAAGTAAAAGAATAACTGATACCAGTGGACACATCCTATTTTATTTTCTCTAGATCCCCAATTGTTTTTACTTGCCAAAGTGTTTTAAAGTAATTTCACCTATAAAAATGTAAGCATTTCGTAGATAAGGACATTAAGCAAAACATTATTATATCTAATAAAATTAGTGATAATATCATAGCATTCATTCTTTAATGACATCCTGTAGAGGGAACATATAATGAGAAAGGGGTGAATCTGGAGAAGACACAAAATTACTAAAAACGATGGTTACACACTATCTACAAAAGTCAGAAATTGTAGATGACAATGTAGGGATTGTCATGGGCAATCTAAAACTGAAGAAGAGCGCCTTCTAGTGGAGCCGGGCAGGATTTCTTTTTAAGTTTTAACTTAGTGCTGAGGCTGTGCCTAAGGAGTACAATTAATCCAGATCTTTGTAACTAAGGTCTCTCTCCACCCTCCCCCAAAGTAAAAATAAATATTTTATAGTGTTCTCCACACTTCAAGAGAAAAATACATTTTTTGTAGAAGCTTTTTTTCCAAAAACAAAATAAAGTTTGGAATGAAGGAAGAGAGCTTCTGTAAAAAGTGATTAAATAGTCCTCTGAATACACACACACACACACACACACACACACAATCAAATTGTGTTAACGGCTTTTCTCCCTGACTATAGAATAAACATTTCCCTACATACTTAAATTATCTCTAGGACATGATTCTATCACCTCCATGAAGCACAGAATTTAGTATTTCAATCCCCTTTATTTTTAAAAGCGTACTTTTTTGTGAAGCACATTTCTGAAGTCAAGAAGCACCCAATGGCCCCTATGGTTGAAAGGGAACTGCTAAGAAAAGGAAATCTTTCCCTGCTAAAGAGTCATAGACCTGGAAATGTAAAGTAAATAACAAGTTTCCTTCCTTAATAAGCATATCTAAACAAGGGCTGGCAGCCTGCTAGGCTGATTGATCTCCCAGGCCATCCTCCAAGATCTGTGTCCTTCCGCTTTTCCTGTGTCAAGAATTTGTATGCTAACTAACCAACTTTATCAACGTAAAGTGGTTCTTTAAAAGAGGCTTGTGTCTCTAGACCAATGCTCAGATCTTATGGACCTACCTAGGTCTGAGACCTCATGCATGAGTGATAAAGCTTCTCCTGGCCTCACCATTTCTGAAGTACCACTTGTTCTTCCCCTGCCTGGGTAAAAGGCTAGAATTTATTTCTGCAACATGGTGTCTTCCCCATGGTTCCTGAAGACTTTGAAGTGTGTCTCAGCTATTGAAGAAAGGTCACTTCCCAGGCTTACATTCTAGACAAGGGGAGATGGCTGGGCCTTTACAGACCATTTGGCCAACTCCTTCCTCTTACATTTGGGGAGAAGGGACTTCCCCAGGTTTGGGGAGGTGAGATGGTGCTGGGGCTTGGGGCCATACAATGTTATTTTTATTTCTTCTGATAAAATTTTGACATTGGCCAGGTACACACTGGCTAAGAGTCCCTCCTGGATTTCATGGGTTCATTTCCTTTTCACTAGGTGGTCCCTGAGTGACTTTTAAAAATCACAGTGTATGCTTGAGGAGCTCATCCTTTTAAGAACCTCCTTATTTTTACTTACACATATTTGTAGTCAGTTAATAAGGGTTCTATAGCATTTACTCTGGGTCAAGCACAGTTTCACTCCCCAAGCTTTCTCTCCTCCTCGCTAAAGCCCTAAATCCCTAAGTTGCTCTTCCCTCCCAGATGCTGTGGGGAAATGGAACGTGAGAGGAGAAAATGCATCACTGGCTATGCAGGGCCATATGCCAGAACAAGGCTTTTGCAGCAAAATGCTCCCTAATTATTCATCACTCTGGGTGGTTTAACTACAAAAAAACCTCTCTGTTGAGGTCTGAACAGGCCAGTCATGAATGGGTGAGTAAGAGAAAGGTTCTGACCCACATGGATGTGTTAGGGGGAAAAGGATGTCCTAAAGCTAATTCCATACAGGCTTTGTGGACTCCACCCCCACCCCAGGCCAAAGCCAAAGACACTGGGAACTCCAAATCCCATCACCACCAAAGGGAAGGTGGCTGGGACCTGAGGGTGGGGTTAAGCAGCCAGGTTGGTATAAGGCCAGACACGTGGGCTTTGGAGGGTCCCCCATTTTGGCTCTCCGCCAGCTCGCAGTTTTCCGCCAGCGCTGAGAGTGCCTTTGGGTTTCCAGGTCAGCGGATCGGGTAGGACGCATTAAAGACTTTATTTCCCTATTTTCTCCCTGAGTTGTACATTTTCCTTATTTCCTTTTCTCTTGTAAATAAACCTTTTATTAACCTTTTGTGTGTGTCTGTAGTAGCGTATTAATAAGTCCCTTTTAAGCGCGCGGGTGAGGACCCACAGCCAGGCAACCTGTTCAATATCAGGGCTGCCCTATAACAGATGTTTGCTTTATGAAGATGACACAGCATCACTTCAGGATCGCCCCCAGGTCAAGATGGAGATGCCACAGTGTTAAAACACTGAGCATCCAGTGAAATAAGTCAAAAGGAAAAAAAAAAAATCAGATATCACTTATAGGATGACTATAGTGAAACCAAACAAAGGACAGGAAAAAAAAAGACTAAATTTGTATACAACTATAGATCTGATGATAAAAGCAAGGAAGGGGGAAGAAAAGGGGTCAAAACAGGATTGGAAGAGCACAAGGGACCACGGTGACGGTTCACGGATGACATGGCGGTGAGATATTTACTGTGACTACACCTGAGGGGAGAAATCAAATACTGTACAAAAATGAACAACAGGGCCCCTCTCGTGGTGCAGGCTGTTGAGCACAGCGCTGTGAAGCTGTCCGCAGCCTCTGCAGTGTGGGTTCAATCCCAGCCGGCAGGGGACATTCTCACAGGATGCAGTGGACCTCTCCTGTCTCACCCACTGCTCCCCTCAGCAGTGTGTTTCAGTCAGTCTGCCTGTTCTGTTCCCCGCTCTGTCTCTGGTGAATCCTCTCATCCTCGCGCACATCTGGCTTGTGCCCCGGTTCTTGTGTAAAATAAATAAAAAATTCTTAATTAAAAAAAAGAAAAAGAAATAAAGAAGTGAACAATGTAAGAAAAATTTAAAAATTAATAAAAAAAATAAGTTGTTCCCAATGTAAAAAAGAAATAAACAAACAACAATAAAAAAACAAATGCTGAGCAGTGGAGACTGGATTGAGCAGCTCCGAACTGCAGTCAGAAGGAGGTACAAATGGGGCCTCCCCGCTGGCGCAGCGGTTGAGCGCTGGGTTGCGAAGCTGCCCGCAGCCTCTGCAGCGCCGGTTTGATCCCCCGCTGCTCCCCGGCCACCGGAGGAGGGTCCCGCGTGGCGCACGGACCTCTCCTGCCGCCCGCTGCTCCCCTCAGCAGTGTACTTCGGTCCTTCTGCCTGCTCTGCTCCCTGCTCTGGCTCTGGTGAATTCTCTCACCCTCCCGCGCTTCTGACTGTACCCAGTGCTTGTATAAATAAATAAATAAATAAATAAATCTTTAAAAAGAAAGAAAGAAAGAAAGAAAGAACCAAAAACAGAAAGAACCCAAAAAATTAATTAAAAAAAAAAAAAAAAGAAGGAGGTACAAATGTAACAGGGTGGTCCCCAGGAAAGGAGGAGGTTCCAGGTTTCCTGCCCTACCCAAGGGAGGGTGGAGCTGAGCAGGGAGAGAAGAAGCTGCAGAGGAGACTGAGGAAGGAAGGAAGCAGGATGGAGCCAGAAGACCTGGAGGAAGCACATGGAGCCTAGAGACACCTGAAGAAACTGCGCTTGCCTTTTGGTGGTGAACTGGGTGACACAGATGTGGGTGAGACCCGTGGGGAGGTGTCAGTGGCAGCTTTTATCTTGATTTTGATTTTGCTCTTTTCCTTCCGGGCTTGTCTGGTTGTTTCTGACCCTTTTCTGTGGGTCCCCACTGGAAGATGCTTTAGACTTGTGGCAGGCTTTGGGGCCCTGCTCTGGGCCAATCCCATTTGGATGGAGTTTTACCCATGGGGACGAGTAACTTTGGGTGCTTGATTTAGAAACTAGATTCTTTGCCTTTCCTGTGTTGTTTCCTAATTGTATTGAAGTTCCTTCCCATTAAAGTCTCATGTTTTATGTTAATGTAGAGGATGGCAGAACCCTATATAGAATAGGCAGGTTTGCGGGGTTTGGGCTGCTCCTCTCCCTGCCCTGTAACACAAATACCACGTACAGGTACAATTCCAGAGAGCCACCATGGGAAAGGCCTTGCAACTGTTCCTGATTTGGAAAGAAATTTTGCTATTCAAATGCTGCTCTGAAGAACTGAAGACGTGGTCTAGGGGAGGTCGGGAAGTGGGTATGATCAAGTTTGGGTCAGGAATAGGGCTGCCAGATAAAACACAACACACCCAGTGAAATCTGAATTTCAGGTAACAATGCTGTCGTGTATGTTTATCTCAAATTCAGCTTTAACTGGGTGTCCTGTACTTTTTGCACTCTAAATTAAGCAACCCTGCTAAAGGCTTCCTGGAGGAAGCAGGATTTAGCCAGGGCCTGGAACGGCAAGAGGAAAGGACGGAGATAAGCAAAGGAACCCAGAGAAGGGAAAGCTGAGTGTGCAGAGAAGAACCTGGAGTGCTGGCCCAGCCAGGGTGGGGCGGTGGACGTCCTGGAGACCAGGCTAAGGGTTTGGATTTCAATTGTGAGCAGCAGGGAACCACAGAAGACCTTGGCCATGGGCTGGACTTGAGTGTTGGGAAGCCCCTGAGTAGGACAGCAATGAAGGAGAGGAAGGTAGGAACTCAGGCAGGAGCGCCTATGTGGGTCCCTGTGGGTGGAATAAGGTTTTCCCTTGATTCTGGGCAGTGAGAGTGAAAATGCTTCTTCTGGCGACTGAGGAGGCCAGAGGAGGCGGAACTGCTGTGCTCTCAAATATGTGAACACCTTTGCCGGTAGTTAGACCTTTTGTTTTCCTGAGGGAATTCTTTCTACTTCTAATAATTGACTCAGTATAATTAATCCACCCACCTCCTCCGAAGACCACCCTTTGTCCTCAAGCATTTTTCTTTCAAATTCCCACCCTCAGGAAATGTCTGCAGAATGAGTGACCAAAGAGCAAGGTGAAGTGAGATGCACCTGCCGGCTTTTGCTCCTGTCTGCCATACGTGCACCCAAATCTTTAAGGACTATTGACTGCAGAATACCGGGCAGGCTCTCAAGTACACACTATTCACCACTCAGAGGCCACTGCAGGCTGGAAGGCCTGTGGGTGAATTTTCATTTCCTTCTTTACATTTTCTAAGTTTTCTACAATAAACAATTATTAGATTTAAGACCAGAAAATATATATTAGCAGAAGGTCCCAGGATCACATCCCTGAAAGAAGCTACCTGTCTCCTGCTCATGTACTAAACAATCTGTGCTTGGAGCTTTATGTACTGTGTGACCCGTTCATGTGTATTTTTAGTAAAATTCTAAGTTATTTCTTCAGAGGTCTCAGTCGTTTTGTGACTAGTAGTTAACATATGTATGAGGGATGAGGCAGGAGGACTGTGCTGGGGATTGGCAGGGTGGGTCTTGGAGAGGGTGGGCTGGGGCAGCTGAACTTCTAAAAATAAATTCCTTTCAATATAGACAAAAGCATTCATTTCCATTTGCCTAATTGAAGAGTGTGACTCTGTCTCTTTGGAATTTACATAGTTAAAAAAAAAGTCTAAAAGGAGAGCTAAAGGAGTGGGAGAAGAACAGGACTGGAAGGCAGAGAAATGGCTCAAACCAGTCACAGAGACAAATTTGACCTCCACTGAGGGTGGGTGATGAAAGCTTCCCTTGTTTCCACAGAGGGAACGTCGCTTCCTGCTCTCACCAGCTCCTCCTGACCACCGTCCCTCTCCTCACCAGACACACTCTAGCCAGGCTCATTCTGTCCCCTTAGGCCTCTGCCAAGCCTGCTGACTCCAGGCTACCAAGCACCTCAGGCATCTTACAAATTCAGAAACCAGATCCAAGACATGCACGGCCTAGAATGACACATGAACCCGAACGTCCTCAGTCTAGTGCAGAATTTCTCAGGCCAAAGCCAGCTCTGGGCTCCCAGCTGTGTTCCAGGATCCCGGGAGAGAGAGAAAGAGAGATGAAGGTGGCCCAGGTGCTACTCCTAAAGGCTCAGGCACAGGCTGGAGGGGCATAGCCCCACAGGTCACCAGGCTACACTGCCAACAGTGGAAGGTGTGTAAGAGACAGATGCTCTGGGCACCCAGGAGTAGGAGCCATTCATCTCTGCTGTGTGTGTATGGGTGGTAGTGGAGTCATGTCACACAGCAGGTGGCATCTGGGTAGGATTCTGACACATGGAAATTGGGCCAGAGAAACCCGCAGGAGGAGAGATCAGAGACCTGGGACGGGGTACAGTTCACAGTCATAGTGAACAGATGAAGGCATGAGGCAGGTGGAGGTGTGAAGGGTCAGGACATCATCCTAAAGACCCTGGATTTTGTCCCAAAGCAATGGCTCTGAATCTTTCAGGTTTCAGGGTCCCCTATGAGCTCACTAAGTTTGAGGGACTGACTCAGGACATGACTAATTGATTATTTTGCCCAATAAAGTCATGAAAATCAAACCCAAAAATCGAGTACCAGCTACCACCAACAATTATCATCATTTCACCAAAGGTTATTTAACTACCATGATAATAGGGGAACACAACCCAGAATGAAGAACACCCCCCCACCCCCACCAAGGAGAGTCGATACCCTCCTGCTGACACCATGTTCAGACAGACAAAAGGAAACTTCCTGGTCGAGGGGGCTGAGGAACCCGAGTAACAGCCCAGCTCAGGCCTGAGACTTACACTCTCAGGTGTGGGATCTGAAATGTGACAGATGCAAAATTTTAAATAAGACAAGGTTTATGAAAGGGCCAGGAACGGTGCCCATAAAGGGGGTGGGGGCCCATGTATGGTCCCCACCCCTTCAGCATGACAGGCTGTAGCTGGTGCTCCTTTTGGGGGTGGAGGAATGCCTCCACGGGCAAATAGGTTTGGGAAACACTGAGATGCTTAAGGTGTTTTTATCATCATTTGTGCATTTTTTTCTATAAGACTTGACCGTGATTCTTCACACTGCAATATGCAGTATTTCCCTGACTAATCTGACGGTGAAAACCTTTTGTCAGCATGATGCAGAATGGGAAACTCCTGGGGCCAGCTGCCAGAGTCCTGCAGGTGCTGATCCATTATTTAGCAGACGGGAGGGTGGCATGCACAGAGACAACAGACAGGCAGCTGCGCAAGAGCACCCAAGCACCCGCCGCAGACATCAGCGTGTACCTCGAGGTCGGAGTTGATGGAGGAGGCCTCGGAATCACTGCTGGAAGACACACGGGCCCGGATGACCTGAACCGGAGGGTATGAGGGGGGCTCCTGCAGGGGCGCATCTCCAGTGCTCATCTGTCCGTCGCCAGGCAGCCTGGTGGCACTGCATCCTGCCTGCAAGGTGTGTGAGAAAGGGCAGGTGGGGACACTTGGGTTTATTGATTTGTGACTTGTCAAAATATACACATAGCCCATATTCCTAAGGTACATGAGGGTGTAGAAAGCAATGTCTACCTTACTCTCATCTCCCAGCCAGCCAGCTCCCCCAGAGAGCCAGCAGGTACCCAGTTTCTGCGTATCCTTCCAGATATCCTTTGCATATATGATCAAATACATGTGACAGACAAATAGCAGGCTCTACACTCTCATGCATCTTGCTTGTTTTCACTTAACAATATGTTTTAGAGATCTCTATCAGGTGTTTTTTTCTTTAGGGGGGTAGCATTTCTGTAGGTGCTGGAAAGCTACTTAGCCAGTCCCCCACTGATGGACATTTAAGGACATTTAAGCTATTTCCAATCTCTTGCTTCTATAATATCTCTTGCAATAACTTATGTTGCATACCCGAGATTCCTGGGTATTTAAAGGATACATTCCTAGAAGTGCGACTGCTGGGTCCGTGAGTATGGGCATTTGCAGTTTGGATAGCAGTTGCCAAAAGTGCACTCCCGACAGGCTTCACCAACTCACACCCACCAGCAACATATGAAAGGGGGTTGGGGGGGGCCTCCCTGGTGGTACAAGACACAACCTATGAAGCTATCCACAGCCACTGCAGCATGAGTTTGATCCCGAGCCAGGGAGCTGACCCACATGGCGCAGCAGACCTCTCTTGTCTCGCCCACTGCTCCCCTCAGCAGTGTATTTCAGTCAATCTGCCTGTTCTATTCCCTACTCTGTCTCTGGTGAATCCTCTCACCGACCCCCACCCCCAACTCTGGCCTGTACCCTAGCTCTTGTATGCATAAACAAATAAATCTTTAAAAAAAAAAAAAAGGGCCTCCCGGGTGGTGCAGCGGTTGAGCGCTGGGCTGCGAAGCTGCCCGCAGCCTCTGCAGCGCAGGTTCGATCCCCGGCTGCTCCCCGGCCACCAGAGGAGGGTCCCGCATGGTGCGCAGACCTCTCCTGCCGCCCGCTGCTCCCCTCAGCAGTGTACTTCGGTCCTTCTGCCTGCTCTGCTCCCCGCTCTGGCTCTGGTGAATTCTCTCACCCTCCCGTGCTTCTGACTTTACCCAGTGCTTGTATAAATAAATAAATAAATCTTTTAAAAAAAAGAAAGTAAGTGAGTTGGGAAGATTTAAGAGAAGCAGAGAGTTGTGAGAGCATCCATCCATCCATCCTCCCTCCCTCCCAGGGCTCATGGGAGGCTTCCTCAGAGTTTCTCAACCTCCCTCAACCAGGGTTTCAGACCAGACAGGATTTGGGTCATTCTATAGATACACCACAGGGGAACAACCTGCCTTCTGACCTGCATCTTCCACCAAGAAACCATGTGATCCTGGCAAGAAATGAATCCTCCCTGCGTCTCCAGTTCTTGATCTAGGGAAGGAGATGTTGATCCTTGCCTTGGCTCCTTTTAAGGGGTGTCACAGGGCTCAGCTGTAAATGCCCTGGACACATGAGAAGAACAGCTACTCTACTGAACCCCAAATCACATGGGACTCCAGCCCTGGATGGGTTAAAAGTACACAGTCAACAGGATAGGTGGGGGGAAATCCAGCTTTCTGGAAGCAGCAGGAAATCCAGGTGAGGACCCTTGCTGCTGGCCTGAGAAGGTTACTGGAGCAGAAACCTCAGGGAGGCCCCTGGGAGAGAGCCCTATGGGTAGGAAGTAAGGTGCAGAGGCCTCCCAGGCAACAAGGATGCTCAATTTTAGAAATTCCCAGGATCTGGCCAAACCTGAGTCAAAGGATAAAAAGGAGCACTCAGTGCTCCAAGCTGAGGCTAAGGCTGTTGATCCCCGTGCTTGCCCTGCCCTCCGCCCCTCAACTAATCGCAACCCAGGCCGCCTCTCCAGGAAACTCTCTCCTAGAATGAGTGTTCGGAATGGTCCTCTGGGAAGACAAGTGACCATCCGGTGGCTCCTGTCACCCACTTCCGGGTGACTGTCTAACAGGACATACATCAGTGGCCACAGGATACCTGCATCACACAGCCTTGCCCATGGGGAGATTCTCACAAATAAAGGAAAAATTCACTAACCAAGCAGGTACAAAATGGCAGCATGGAATGTGTGTTCACTTTAGTTTGAAACCTATTTCTGTGCTTTTGCAACTACAGGATCTCAGGAAAGTGACTTAAGTCTCACTACAGTTTAATTTAAAATAATAACAAAGTTATTAGCTATTAATACATAATAATGGAAATAATAATAGCATTCATCTCCCAGGGTTATGAGAATTTGTGTTAATAATTTTAAAAAGTGGCCATTTATCAAATGTTTACTTGGTGCCAGCCATTACATCAAGCAAGAAGCAATACAGCACAGCAGCTAAGGGCTTTATCTACCCGGAAGATAAAGGTCTGAATTCTGGTTCTACCACTGAAAACTGTGATCTTGATCTTGAGCAAGTTTCTTAACCTCTCTGAGCCCAGTTTCCTTATCAGTAAAATGAGGATAATAACCATAGGGGTTGGCTGTGAAGCTTAAACAAGAGTTAATCTATGTAAAACACTGAAACCAGAACTTGAGCCCCAATAAGCAGTATGGAAATGTTGTCTGTGACTGTTTACTCAGACAAGGCAAGCAGTTAGCCCTCTGGCAAAGAAGGCAAGCAGTTAGCCCTCAACAAGCACTGAGGCAAGCAGGTAGCCCTCAATAAGCATTCTGCTCTTTGAAGGAGGCTCTAGCGCTGAGGAGGTGCCAGGCTCCCTGCTGGGAGCTGTCTCAGCACTAACTCTCGCCCTCTGGTGGATGAAGAAGGAAGAGGCTGAGAGGAAGTATTGATATTGCTCAAAAAATGTGCAGATAGAAGAAAGTAAAGTAGAAACACACTCTTCTTTCATGGAATCTGCTCCCTAGCAGGAATCCACGTAAGAGTCACATACTGGTAAGGCTAAAGTGAATGTACTACTGCACTTATTGTTAGAAGTTGCATGATTTTAAAATGTTTTTGCCGGGCCTCCCCGGTGGTGCAGCGGTTGAGTGCTGGGTTGCGAAGCTGCCCGCGGCCTCTGTGGCGCCGGTTCGATCCCCGGCTGCTCCCCGGCCACCGGAGGAGGGTCCCACATGGTGCGCAGACCTCTCCTGCCGCCCGCTGCTCCCCTCAGCAGTGTACTTCGGTCCTTCTGCCTGCTCTGCTTCCGGCTCTAGCTCTGGTGAATTCTCTCACCCTCCCGCGCTTCTGACTGTACCCAGTGCATGTATAAACAAAACAAACAAACAAATAAATAAATAAAACATGCCTCTATAAATAAATAAATAAATAAATAAATAAATAAAATTAAAAAAAAGTTTAAAAAAAAAAAAAGTCTACTGCCAAGCTTTGACCAGATGCTGCCATTTTCCTGAGCTTTTCCGGGGCTCCCCACCCACCCTCCAAATAGAAGAAGGGATTAATGGCTAAAGTGGGCTCTTAATTGTGAAAGCATGCCCTGAAACTTTCTAAATCCCATTTATGTCACACACAGGGTTATTTGCACCAAGGAACAACAACAAAAAGTAAAACCTACTTTTTCAGGCCCAAACTCTCTCTGCAGCTCAGCAAGGCCACCACCACTGAACTCAGTATTCCAGACACACTTTATTGAGAGCCCTGTCATGATCCCCAGGGTGTGGGCAAACAAGATAGAAGAGACAAAATCTATATCCGGGCAGGAGGCAGACAACCAAGAAAATTGAGATAGTGACTAGTGCTTTGCAGGGCATTTAAAAAGGCATTAGGAAGTAATAGGAGGGCCTCCCTGCTGGTGCAAGGTATTAAGACACAGCCTATGAAGCTGTCCACAGCCACTGCAGCACGAGTTCGATTCCCCGGCAGGGAGCTACCCACTTGGTGCAGCAGACCTCTCCTGTCTCACCCACTGTTCCCCTCAGCAATGTATTTCAGTACATCTATTTGTCCTGCTCCCCACTCTCTCTGGTGAATCCTCTCACCCCCCACACCTGTGGCCTGTACCCCAGTTCTTGTATGCATAAATAAAATAAATCTTAAAAAAAAAAGAAGTAATAGTGTTATGGGGCAACCCCAATATAAAAACGGGGGTTGCCTCATAATAATAGGATGGGGGTGGGTGGAGGCTACTTTTGAATGGGTGGTCAGGAAGTTCTTTGGTAAAGGTGATATTTACCTGACATTTGAAAATCAAGGGAGAAAGTCATGTAAGATAATCAAGAGGAAGAACATCTAAGCAAAGGAATGGAGAGAAATCCCACAGCCAGAGGACTGAACAGAGCAAGAGAATACTCCTATACTGCAGGGAATAATCACACGTGGGGCTTCATGGGTCTTGGAAGTCTGTGTATGGAGTTTAGATTTATTCTGCCCCAAATGGGGGAAGCCAGAGGAGTGCTTTAGACCAAGGGGGTAAGGTGTAATTTACATTTGTAAGAAACCCTCCGGTCTGCTCCCTGCATATGGAGGAGGGACAAGAACAGTGTCAGAGAAGAAAACCCTTAGGAGGCTGCTGGATCTATTGTAAAAGCAGTATTTATAAGACTTGCAAATGGATGGACAGGCATGGGCCTATAGTGAGGGAGAAAGAGGAATTTGGGGCTTGACCAGCTGCACAGATAGTGGTGTCCTTTACTAAGACAAGGACCCTGGGGGAGAGAAGCTGGATGGATGTGGAAATCCAGAATTTCCTTTTTGACCTCGGGAATGCGAGATGCCCTTGGCAGCCAGGTAGCCAAGACCAGAACCCAGGGGACAAGGGAAGATGGAGACAGACATTGGGAAAATCTGCAAGAGGTACGTAGGGTTTTGGGTCTATGGGACTGAGAATATACCAAGAGAAGAGGGCCTCCTATGGCAGAGCAGGGGGGATTCCAGCTTTAAAGTTAAGCTTATCAGGAGAGCCTGCAGGAGGGATGGGGGAAGAGGGCCTATGACAGTGGGAGTGCGAGAAATTAGAATAAGCTAGTGGCAAGATGAGCTGAATACAATCAGGACTGAATGACCCCGGGATGTTCCAACTTGGAGATCACTAGTAACCTTCACAGGAACCGTCTTAGCAGGATAGTGGAATGGCAAGTGAAATCATCTTTCTCCCTCTTCAATCCATCTTTCTGAGGATCCTCGAGTGCGGGTCAGAACCCTGGAAGTCATCTGGTGCCCTCAGACTTCTTCACCCCTATATCTTCACCCCTTCCCCCAGGATCTCCTCCCAACTCCCTCCACTCCATCTCTTGCTTTGGCCTTGGATTAGGCCATGACACCTCTTTCCTGGGCTTACAAAGGTTCCTTACTGGCCACCTTGCTTGTAGCCTCCTCTTTTCCAGTCCACTCACTCCCCAATACCGCCTGAATGGTAGCTTTCAAATGCACATCTAATCCCAAAGGCTCCTGGACTTCCATTTGCCTCAGGATGAGATGAGACTCTGCAGTATGATAATTTGTCTCCTCACCACCCTTTCATTTCCTGAACTCTCCTCCATCTGCCCTATCCTCCTTTGGAGAACATTTTTTCCTCCTTCATCCTGCCCATTCTGTAGCTAAAGTGCCACCTCCTCCAGGAAGCCCTCTCTGATTGCTCCCCTTCTGACAACCAGCTGTGACCTAAGACCACTCACCTGCTGCACAGGTTCAATTGTCAGCTCCATGTAGCGACTGATGGCTGCCATTGTCCTGAGTGGCTTGCAGTGTGGTAGTGTGGTGAGAGGCACCCAATCTGAATTCTTTCAAGTGAAGACAGGGAAACAGAAAGAGGGATTCTTAAAGTCAGAAGATATTTCTAAAAATATGGTCCCACTTTCTTCAAAAGGATCTTTAAAGTAGTTTGTTTTTTTATGGAATATATCATTTTTTGCTTCCTATAAGCTGTCTTTTATCTCTCTTTGAATACACAGTGGTTCAGTGTTTCCCACTTTGCTGCACAGTGGAATCATCTGGGACCTTAAAAAAAAAATGAAGCGAAACAACTGATGTTTGGCCCTCACCCCTCAGACATCCTAAGATTGAATATAGGATGTGACCTGGGTACTGGAAAGTTTAAAAGCCCCCAGTATGGCAAAGTTCGGGAAACACTGCAGTAGGTGCTAGATAAATGCTTTTATGCCTTAGAAGCACCCAGTGGACTTACTGAAACACAGATTTCCAGACCTCTCCCTCAGTTTCTGATTTGGCAGATCTGGGTAGAGCCCTAGAGTTTGCCTTTCTGACAAGTTCCCAGGCAATGCTGACCCAGGGACCACACTTTGAGGGCCGTTCTGTAAAGGGCCACAGGCTGAAGTCATTGCAAAGGTCTCTACTTCTTCCTTCAGAACACAAACACACAGAGCTCTCTAAGAATTTTAGCACCCTTTTGCGATATCATTTCATAGTGAAAGGAATGAATGAGTAATGGAACAAAAATGACCTCCCTTTAGGTCCTTCATAGGATCTTGACTCTGGTTCAAGCACCATACCAACCCTTTAACCTTATAGTCAGATGACCTCAGATTATACTGTTGAACTAGAACATTCGGAGGAGTAGTATTCCCTTTCATTGGTCCAAATGCATCCCTGTCTCAGCCAGTGGTTCTGACCCAGGTAATAGGCAAGATTTTTTTTCTGAAAAATTATCTTAGAAAAGATGGATCTGCTTTATGTTCAAGTCTTTACAAACACTCTTGTATTACGAAGCATTTTTTCATTATTTGGACCCAGGGACTTTTGACAAAGACGAAGCACCTCAGAGAAGTTCTGGCTACTTCTAGAAATTGCCGGATTAAATCAACAAAGGAAGGAGCGAGTTCTTTCAAATGTGTTCTTGCTGGTAGTACAACATAATTGTAGATGGTGGGTGCTGCTATAAACAATACTTTCAAAGATCAGCTTTTTGGCATTATCAACTACAAAAAGCACAGTGTTGGTGATGATGACGTGGATGTCAGACATGCATACAAAAGTGGGAATACGTGTTTTTATGAAATACAAGGGCAAAACTTAAGATATTTCTAAATTAATATGTTAATTTATGTAGTATATGAATTTAAATATTTATATGAGCAGGTAAATTAATAAATAGCACAGTGGACATTTGATTAAATATACATTGTTAAAAATGAAGTTTTTAAGTGATCAAAAAAAGTTTTAAAAAATGCTGTAATTGTTAAGTGGAGAGTTCTGTTTATTCAGGGCGCCTTAGCAGGGACTCCAGAATTCCCAAGCCTGCCTTGGCAAGGTTCCCCCTCTGCCCACCCAGAACGCAAACACGGCAGGACAGCGATTCACCAGCCAAGGAGACTTGCCTCATTGCTCGCCTCGGGATGTTCTTCCTCTTTCTCTGCACATGTCAAAAGGGCTTGAGTGTCGGGGCTCTCTCTGGCTTCAGAGGTAAACCCCAAGGTCCGCCTCGCTTTGCTCTTCATCACCCAGGAAAGGAGAATGATCTGAGAGGTGGAGTTAAGGTTCAAGGAAGCAGAGCACTTCAGCCACCAGTGCTGCCTCCCCAATGTGCTCCCCCCACCCCACGTGCTCTCCCCAAGTGGCCCCAGGGAACAGGCCCGAGCTCCCTGGAAGATAGGACCAGGTCTGCCACTCTAGCTCCTCTCCCCACCCAGGATCCAGCACCCAGCAAGAGCCCATCTCTAACAACCACTTTGTAAATTTGTCCCTCAAAGAATCCTTTTCTTCAAAAAATTCACATCTTTTGAATTTTTGTTTAACATCTTCCCTAAAGGGCTTGGTTTACAGGGACAGTACATGTGGTGGGTTAGTGTCCCCCCAAATTCATTTCCACCTGGAAGCTCGAATGTGACCTTCTTTAGAAAGAAGTTTTTGCTGACATAATTAGTTTGCTGATGTAAATTGCTAATATGATTAATTAAGAGGTGGTAGCAGCAGATTAGAAAAGACCCTAAACCCTATGTCTGGAGGAGGGGGACACACCAGGAGACACAAAGGGAGGAAGACCCTGTGGAGTCAGAGACAGAGATTAAAATAATGCAGCCACAAAGCAAGGAACACCACGAGCCAAGGAAGCCAGCAGAGGCAAGCAAAGGCTTCCCCCTGGAGCCTAGGAGGAAGCGTGGCTCTGCCTGGATTTGGGACTTCCAGCTTCCAGGATGGTGAAAGGATACATTTCTATTGTTTAAAGCATCAAGTCTCCTATAATTCGTTATGACAGCACTAGTTAACTCATACAGTACATGAGAACTTCATAGTTCTGAACTATTTAGCTAGAGCCATAGGGTGTTTTTACACACACACCAGCACAGCAAAGCCATCACCCACTGCCTTATCACCACCCACAGACTCTCTGAGCTTAATTTGTCCTTGAGTCTGCAGTGCCAAGGTTCCTGGGGTGTGAGCACTTCAGGCCAAGCGCCCTGCCTGGGGAGCCAGGAGAGTGCTCATGGTCAATGACCAAGGGCAATGACCATGACCAAGCTCATGGTCAATGACCAGGTCCGATTTTCACTCTGCTTCTCCACCTGGGCTCCAGACAGAACAGGCAAGATTGCCCCTGTGTGGCAGGTCAGTTGGCAGAGCCCCATCCCCCCTTGTGAGAATGGCAAGCAGAGATGAAGACAGTTGGCTCCCAGCAGGGTGGGGACTCTTCCGGGCAGAAGCAGGACAGACATAGGAACCTGGGTCTCTGACCAGAGGACCAGGACCCTCCACACCCCTCTCTGCTGTTTCACAGAGCTCCAGCCAAGAGATAGGTCTTTGTATTAAGAAAAAACCCCACAAACACAAAATTGCAAATTGTCTGCCCCAGGCTTCAAACCACCTACCTCCCTGTTGGCTGGGGCAGAGTTTTATCTAGCAAAAGGTCCAAGAACATGGTAGGGCAGGGAGAAGATGAGGCACAGGACTTCTCTGGGCCTGGGTGGATACGGCAAGGTCCAGCGCAGCACGGCCGAGGGAGGTCAGGAACCAGGGTGTGGCCCGAAGCAGGTACTCAGGGCGCCGGTCATGGGCCACGATGGCCGAGGCGTAGAGGAGGCCAGCCAGGGCTGACAGGAGTCGGGTCCACAGGTGGATGGCGGGAAATGCCTTACCCTGGCACTGGGCAGACAGCAGGGGGCTGGGTTGGAAGGAACACTGCACCCCCAACTCCCGCAGTGCTGATTGTAAGACCCAGGCCCTGGCTGCACAGCAGGTTCATGGGCAAACCCTCTGCCCATGGCCCTGGGGAGCTGCTTCTGTTGTGCTTCCAGCTTTTGCTCAAGCATTTCTTCTTTTGTCTCATGGATTCCTGTTCATCCCTGGCTTACCCTCAACTCTGCAAAACTCCCCTGACCACCTCCACCTGGATATATGACTTCTGGCCCCAGTACTTTGAGATAATACACTTCTGTTATGGAAGTTTGTGGTATCTTGCTACGGCAGCCTGAGAAAATGAGGACTGTGGTCAGGGCACTGAGCCAGTTCCTTTAGAAGTCTGCTGACATGGCTTTCCAGCCCTCACACCAGCCTAGAGACCCATTCCAGGGTGGCTGAATGGAGCGCTGTGTTAGGACACCTTTGCCAGTGAGGTTTCTGGTTGCAAAGCACAGGCTGTGGCTTCCCACCTGCCTCTCCCAGCGCTATTGGGATGGCTATTCAATGACTCTCAGGCAAGTCATTGTTATTAGACTAAATGATGTGCCCGTAACATTCCCGTGTTAGCTCACATCACTGTTCCCTCAGCGAGGCCCTCACATCACCAGGACTCCTTGCTTTTCTGCCTCAGTGTCTTTCCCTTTCCCTCTTCTCTGCCTTCTGAGATCCCACCTGCCCGCCGTCAACCTGAGGCCTCCACCGGCACCCCTCAGTCAGGCAGCGTGAACAGCGCTCACCCCACTCATTTGAACAGTGTAGGAGTCTTTGCTCTGTCTTCCAAAACAACAAACATTTGAGTCTATCTTTCTTGGAGCTTTAAAATATGCTACTTGACATAGCTGTGTCTTCCAGGAGACTGTGAGCTCATGCTTGTATCCCCGCAGCCCCCATGACTGGTTAACAAGGAGCTTCCCTCCCCCAGGAGCCTGCCAGTAAGATGCTCTCTATACAAGAACCCAGGGGCTGAGAGTCTATTCTCTAAAACCTTCTCATTCCCTAGAGGGATACTTGTTCAGCCAACACAGGGCTTTTCCTGAAAGACTGCTTTTCATTCGCTAGAAGAAATAGAGAGAATACAGTGCCGGGCTCTCTGGCGAGGCTCTAGCAGGCCTCAAAATCTTCCCTGAGCTGGGTAAGTACGTGCACGTACACACACACACACACACACACACACACACACACACACGGTAACCCCTCCCACTTCTCCATCCCAAAGACCCAGAGTTTCAAAGATGCTCCCAGATGCCCTAAGACCTGCCATAGTGACCCACAGACCCAGCCCCAACCCGGCCTTACGATTTTGGAGAGTGGGGGGATCCGGGAAGCCCAGGAGCCAAGGGCAGCAATGCCACCCAGCAGATAGCCAAGGATTTCTGTATTATCCTGCAGGAACAGAAGATACACTTAGCACCCTGAGGAGATTGCTCATGTGCCCATACCAGCCTTTTCTGCTTTTAGTGGGTTCCTTGAAATAATGCAAGGTCTCACACTATTGGGGTCCTGGGAACCATATACCCCCAAACCTCCTCCAGTCTGCTCAGCCTCACCTGCAGCAGGTTTCCCAGAAGCCTCCGCTGTGGCCCACGGATGGGGCTTGAAGCCTTCGGAACACCGACCCAGAGAGCCCAGCCTGGACCCAGGCTCAGCGGCAGGGCCAGAGCAAACACACCAGTCCTGAGCCTCCTCCTCCTCTTCCTCTCCTGGCAGCTGCTCCCTGTAACAGACACTAGCATGGACAAGGCTCATGGATCTAGAACTCGACAGACAGCTGAGTGGGGAGAAATGGTGCTGACCCCAGCCTTGTTGCCAGACAGATGCCCAGATGCCTCATATCCTTCAAGGCTCTGTGGTCATGCCACATCTTTGGAGTTTTCCTCCCACTTCTCTCTGGGTCATGCTAACCTGTCCCCACACAAATCCCTGCTCCTGGCTCTGTTCTTCCCAGGTCCTCTCACAGCCTTTTATGTTTCAAAGCAGGGGTGACACTATTCTTTACCACATGTATCTGTACATACAGCACCGTCTCCATTAGAATGGAACTCCCGAGGACAGGCACTCTGCCCTGGCAGTTTCTCTAATCGCCACCATCTGGCGGAGCTTGGCATCTGTGCATCCGTGAGTGGACATGTTTGTGACAGGGCACCAAAACTGTGAGCAGATGAGGAGGGCCTCCCCTGAAAGTCTCCTGGAGATAGATGTTCCTCTGAATAATCTAATGAGAACATTCTCCACTGGGCAGCATCGAGCAGGTGAGGGCACCTCCTATCACCCCAGTGACGCAAGCATTCCCTTTTTGGACAAGGGCCCAAGACATTACTCTCCCTTCTCAGGAACGCCAGCCCCCCATCCTCAGGGGTGCTCATGCCACCTCCAGCCCCCACTGGCCTGTGGTAGCCTCCATTCCTGGCATCCATTTCAGTAAGTTATGAGATTGTCACTGTTTGTCCCCCAAAGCCAGGCCCCAACCCTCCTCCGGGCTGTGGCCGTGCTGTTCTTTTCACCTTGAACGCCCTTTCCTGCCCCTTCTCTGCCACCTGTCACCCTCTCCCTGCCTCTGTTCCCCAAAGTGCATCTTGGGCTCCTCTCTAGCAGCTGGAACTATGGTCTCGAGGCCTGTCTCCCTCATCTGAGGTCAGGGAGCTCCTTCACCCATGGAGCCTGGGTGTGAGAGGCGTAGGTGCTCAGCACCAATGAATGAGTGGATGAACGAAGACAGGAACTGAAAGTCACCCACTCACCAGAATGAGAACTGGATTTGGAGCCACAGACTGGGAAGAGAATGAACACAAAGTTCACCAAGTCAACCGCTGCTAGGTAGGCACCAGTGAAAACCTGGGAGAAAAAGGAATAATAGAGGCTCAGCGTTCAAACATCTTTCAGCAACCGATGTACCTTTCATCCTGGCTCCTCTTCCACACATGTTCCTCTGACATGGTGCTTCCAGGGACACCTCCCAACCTCCAGAAAGATGGTTACCATCTCCATCTGACTGATAAGAAGATGGGGTGCTGCTATGACCAATGCTGGGGTGCAGCTGCCCCTCCTGGATAAGAACCAGTCCTCAGTGTCCCCCGCAGGCTCCCCCCCAGCACAGTGTAATCGCTGCTTTGGCCCAGCCACTGAACTTCTCTGCGCCTCAGTTTCCTCCTCTGAAAACTGCCTTCTTCGATATGAAGCACATCACAGGCACCAACATGTGCAGTCCTGAGAGTGCATCTGGGGGAAGTAAGATGCACTTACCTGTAAGCACACTGCTGTGGGAGCAGAGTTAGTGGTGAGGAGTGTGCATTGGATCCTGGTGCTTGGATCCTGGCACTGCTACTTACTAGAGGGTAACCTTACAGACGTTACCTAACCTCTCTCTGTCTCAGTTTCCAGAGTTGTGAAACAGAGAATGAGAATACCCATGTCATAGGATGTGAGGATTAGCTGAGTTACTACTTGCAAAGCCCTTAGTGCCACGTAGCTAAGTATTAAATAAACATCAGCATGACTGACCTGAGCTGGGCCTCATTGCATCCTATCAGCTAATGAGACTGGGCACCTGAAATGAAAGGGACTTGTTTCTGAGACAACACTGCTAAAAGCAGGGACTAGATCTCTCCAAACCTGCATCCCAATCACTCAGTCACCCTCCTTCGTGTTTACTTTGGTGGCACAAGGCCATGACTAGCTCCATCAGGTGCCCTGAAATGGGGCCTAGCAAGTTTTCCTTGGGACATGTGTGTTGGGATAGGCCTCTTCGAGGCAGGTTTGCCTCAGAGCATTGGCTCCAGGAAAACTGGAAACTGCTTCTTAGTCTCTCCAGTATCCACCTTCCCAGCTAGGAAAAGAATTCAAATACCCTGCATGAGCTGGCGCTGGCCGCAGGTTTTAAAACCAAGAACAACCACTACTATTTATTGAGCATCTACTGTGTGATGTTTAAGTGACGGGGACAATGGAGTAAATACAAATTCTTGTCCTTCTGGAGGTGGCATCCCAGTGTTAGTATTCTAAACATAATAAGTAAATAAAGTAGAGGTATTTAGGGGTAAACTCTGGGGAAAAAACAGAACAGGAGGAGAGGATCTAGAGCACCTACGGGAGAGGCTTGTAAACAGGTCACTTTTAAGCAGAGACTTGAAGGAGGTGATCTGTGCACCCCATGGTTATGGTGCAAGAGCAGGACTGGGACAGAAAGACCTGCAGAGGCCACAGCCCAACGTGAAACACTCTCTCATAGTAAAGGAGTGAGGCAGAAGCCACTATGACTGCGGTAGGGAAAGGGTGGCCAGGCCTGGCCTGGCCTGAGCTTGTCGCCTGTGGGATCCATGCACCTGGATTGTGAGCTGTTTGGCCAGAATTGCCCCAACTGCATCACACAGACTGGTCAGGAGGCAGCACGCAGCGCACAGTGCCGACTGGTCCCGTCCGGAATTCTTCACACATCTCAGATACAGAAGCCTGTGGAGACAGACAGGGCGTAGGCACCACAGGGGAGTTGTGAGTTTGGGGCACCAGATCTGGTGTCTAAAAACAGCAATTGTGATATTCAGCAGGTGTTTGGGATCTCAGTTTATAGCTGGGAAAAGAAAGACTCGAAAGACTCTTGAGCCTCTGGTCAATTTGCCCAAGGCAGGAGCCAGCCCCCATGAAACCTGGGAATGCCCACCTCTCTAATAAGTGGAATTTCTGCCTGCTAATCTGGCCGACTCCAGTTCATGACCCACCACTTAGTGCTGACAAACCAGCTGTCAGATTTTATTTCTTGAGAGGAAACAGGAGGGTTATAAAAGTAACCTAATCACTGCAGTCAACTGCAGAACAGCTAATTGACTAAATTTAGAAGGCAACTTGCGTCTTTGAGATTAAAGTGAACCCTTTCTCATCCATTCATGCTATGGGGTGGCCTGGTTTGTGCCAACTGAAATCCAAGTTGATTTCATTTGGATGCATGCTCTCTACATACGGGGAGAGCAAAGCTCCCAGAAGATGCCTTGGCACTTTGGCTTGACCTCCATAGTATCCCCCACTGCTGGCTTCTCGCCCCCACACACCCAGGAACTAGTGCAGAAAGGGAAGCCAGGCTGGAAGGAGCCAGAGCTCTTTGTGTCTGCACCATTGATGGGATCTCAGAAGCGATGACTCTTCCCTGCTTCATTTCTATGGGGAAACAGTGGCACAATTTCAGCCCTGATCAGGTCCTTTAACCACAGTATAGTACTCATTTCATGTCAGCTGGTTCTAGGTGTCAGCCCTGGATTAGTGGGTGAGGATGGAAGGATACTGGGTTCCCAAACACTCCCTGGCCTGCCAGATAAAGCCCAAAGTCCACGTTGGGAACAGCAAACTTTGACTTGGGGCTTAGGCTCCTTAAGCTGATTCAAGGCTTAACAGTAAAGACTCTAAATTAGAAACTCTCTGATTTGGAGCCAGATTAGACATGATTTATTTCAGTCCTCCCATTTGAGGGAGAACTTACGGTGGCCTATCAGGCCTATGGTGATAAGGTAAGTAAATGGCAAGCCTTCTGGACTCATGAACGTATGGAGGCTTTGCTGTGTATCCTGTGTCCTTCAACCACTTCCCCAACTCTTAATAAGTACTCATTAAACTTATTTCAGAGCCAGGGATCCCAGGCTGCCCTCACCTAACCCTCATGCAACTCAGAGAAGATGTTTTCCCCAAAGTCCAAGAGGCTCAGGGTGACAAAGTCCTGAAAACAAATGGGTGTGTGAGATCAGGTGAAAAAACAGAGGCTTTGCTCTTAGACTGACCACTGTGGATTACTTAACCTCTCCTTAGTAGCCAGGCCAGTAATGCCCACCTCAGAGGGTAGCTGTGAGAACACACACCCAGGGCCCTTAGTTTCCACCCTCTGAGTTGGAAGTTTAAGCCTCACACCTGCTCTTTTCCAAAAGGATGGGGCTTCTGTTCTTTCCAGTCACCAGGGCCAGTGAGCTACCCTCTTGGAACCCAGGGGCTTCCTCACCTAAAGGGGATGAACAGTCCCTGCCCCATGGGTTGCAGCACATCTTATAAGAGCCAGTGAGACACTAGGCCACAGTAAATGTTCCGTGTCTTTTAATTCATACACCAGTGACTGGTTAATGGACTGCAGAATCTGTGACAATACCAAAAGCCTAAAAGGAATGCCATTTGGACCATCTGAGGTGAGATGGTGCCAGCCTTCCTTGGGTGCTGGTCCCTTCTCCTCTGCCAGGGAATATGTGGGTGGCACCACCCTTTTGAGCTTGGGACTGGGTAGCCAAAGACCTGTAGGCTACCTTTAGGCAGACTTCACCCTTAGAACACAGGGTATAGTGACCACCCAGCCAAAGTGCTCCAGGTGCTGGACAGACCAGGGCAAAGGCTGTGGCCCGGGCCAGATGCTCACCACCCCCTCTTCTCAGCTAAGAGGTCCTGGAGAAATTGAGGCCAGAAACATTCTGAGACTTGTCCAGTGTCTTTGCCTTCTGCCAGGGGTTGGTGGCAGAGCTGGAGCAATACTGCTTAATGAGTACTTACTAAGAGCTTTATTCCTGGACTCATTTCATCTTCCCATGTCTCCAGTAAGTTTTCCTCCCCAATCACACGAGGAAAATGAGGCCCAAAGGTTTTGCAGCTTGCCCAGCTCACTTGTGTCAACAGGGAAAGGACTCCAGGTCAGGGCCCCGTTCACTGCACCACCCCGCCGCCTCCTGCTGGCTCGCAGCCCAGACTCCCTGTGCTCGGGATTCCTAAGGAAGTATCCGACTTCAGTCTGCAGCGAATTGTTAGTTTCAATCCTGGAACTGTGCTGCCCCTACCTGCTGCCTGCTCCCTCTCTGCTCCTTCCCTCCAGGTTTCCAAAAGGGAGTTAGCAGGAGGGTCGAGCCAGTTCCCATTGCGGCAGACCCGGCCCCCACCACCGCGCCACCCAGTCCCGGCCCCCATTACAGCGCGTGGGCGGCGATCCAGCAGGAGGAGGCGCAGATCCACAGGCCGAAGGAGATGCAGACGCGGTGGCGGGCGAAGCAGCGGTCCAGGTAGCCCCAGTCCCAGAGCGCGGGCGCGGGCGCGGGGCTGGGCGCCTCCCCCATGACCCGGGTCGGCTTCGCCCGGCCCAGCGCCGAGCCTCGGCGTGGCCGGGGACCCGAGCGCACGCGGGGCCGGGGTCGCGGGGAGCCCCGGGGCGCGCCCGCCACGAGCCCTCTTCCCCGAGCCGGGCTCCGCGGCGCCCACACCGCAGGCCGAAGAGGGGCGCGCCCAGCTCGGTGCTCTCGGGCGTCGGCTGCGGCGGCTGAGGCACGAGGGAAAAGTTTCCGGGAGTGCGGGCTCCCCACCCCTCGCGCTATTGTCGGGGGTCCGAGGGCAGGAGGCCGCCCCCCAGCGGCGGCAGCGGGAGCAACCTCTGCACAAAGGCTGCGGTCGCCGCCCCCCAGGCAGCAGCAGCGCCTCGGCGCGGGGTGGACCCCTTGCTTCGCCGTCACCCGCCTCCAAAACCCCGACACCCGAGCGGATTACAGTGACCTCTCGGGTCACTGTGAGGCTCCTTGTCGCTTCATTAATTCATCCCATTTTCTAAGCCAAACAATACACATACTTCGCGCCTGGCGAAGCGTTCGGTTGCTGGGCATCCCGAGGCAGCGGTGGGTCCTGGGCCGGTTGGTTTAACAGGACACAATGCAGAGGGTGCGCTGGGAGGCCAGGAAGGAGGAAGCAAAAGTGCTGGCGAGCAAATCCCCTGCACCGTCTCTTGCTTTCTTCTCTGCAGCTGTCAAGGGCACCTTCCGCCCCCACTCTGCGGCCAGACCGAGACCTCCAGCAACTAATGAGCTGTCACCTCGGGGATCTGTCCCAGTCCATCCAGCCTCACCGCCACACATTTCTGGCACACAGGGCTGTTTTCCTGAAAACAACTTATTATTATTATTATTACTTAAAATCTTCATTGTAGATTTTAGTTTGCTTAAAGAGCATGACTCCATTATTTAATTTTATTTAAAAAAAAAAATAGCGGCTTAGCTCCCCGCAGCAGTGAACTATGGTCAATCTGCCTATTCTGTTCCCCACTCTGTCTCTGGTGAGTCCTCTCACCCCCCACACCTCTGGCCTATACCCCAGTTCTTTTATGCATAAATAAATAAATCTTTAAAAAATAAAAATAGCAGCTTATTACAACATCATTCATAGACACATATTCATATACATTTCAGTTTATAGTATATCCAGAGTTGTGCACCCAGCACCACTACCTAATTTTAGAACATTTCCATCACCAGACCAAAAGCTTGTACCCATTAGCAGTTCTTCCTTCCCCATGAGCAGCCCCAGCCCTTAGCAACCACATACCTACCTTCTGTCTCTATGGGTTTGCTATTCTGGACATCTCCTATAAATGCTATTCTGGACATCTCCTATAAATACAATATGCAACTTTTCATAACTGACTTCTTTCACTTATCATGTTTTTTAAAGCTTGGTTTACGTTGTAATGTGTGTCAGCATTTCATTTGCATGACTGAGTAATAATAATAAGATAGATGACATTTTATTTAGCCGTTTGTCAGTTGATGGACATTTGTTTTCACTTTTCGGCTTAGGAATAGTGTTGTTATAAACTTTTGTGCATGAGTTTTGTGTATTTGTGTACACTTTTGTACCTATAGTGTACAAGTTTTGTATATCCTTGGCATATACCTAGAAGTGGAATTGCTGGGTCCCATTGTAACTGTATGTTTAAGGTTTCAGTGAACTGTCAGACTGTTTTCTAAAGCAGATACACTGTATTAACTCTTCATTCCTTTTTAAAAGTTATGCTCACTCACAGAAGTGAAACAGTATATGTCAGGCATTGTGCCAGGCACCAGGGACACAATGTTGAGAAAAACAGACAGGCTCCCTACCTTTGTGGATTTTACAGTTCAGTAGGAAAGGGAGAGAGAGACATTAAATAAGCAGTTGAGCAAAGAGGTAAAATTAAAATGTTATTAAACACAAGGACCAAAATTAAAATAGTAACATGACCAAGATATTGTGATATAAAAATCAATTCCAACTAAGACACAATTAAAGGAAAAATGCATATGTAATCTATAGTTTTCACAGTCTATAAACATTAAATAGCCACCATCTGAAATTCTGGTTCTTCGCTGGTTCGTGTGTGTCCTCTCTGCTCTGCGCTCTTGTCAGCGCTGACCTGTGGTCGCCTACCTCTTCTGCAAGGTTGTTTGCCTATGTGTTCCCCAGTCTTGCTGAACGGAGGCCACGCCCCAGACAGACCTGTGTCTACCGTGGGGCTATCTTGTAGGTTCTGTTTTCTTGAAACGAAGATAACACTATTTCATATGATGCTCACATTATAAGACTTCCCTCTCCCTCAGGCTCAGTATAAACTTCTGGAGGCTGGGCCTGATTTAATAATACTTCATTCTCCCCCACCCCACCTCAGACCAGGTTATACACTGCAACAGATTTTTTTTAGAATAGTAGTTAGTTCTCAATCTTTTCTGTGACCCCTCAGGAAATCTGAAGACAATGTGAAAAATATGAACATGTGTGCACATCCAGTTTCTCATGTGATCTTAATGCATTTTTGGAGCCCCTGAACTTATACTATGGATTCCATGGAGGAACAGACCTCAGACAAAATTCCCCTGGTTGAAAGGTTTCATTTCTATGAGTCCCCTGCCTGAGCAGATGGGGTATTGCTGTCCATAGATTATCCCTCTCTCTCAGAGTCACCCTGGCTGCCTGTCAAAAAGCAGACCTATTAAATTCAATCTCGGGGCATGTGCCCTTGGAATCTGCATGGATTAATTTCCCAGAGCTGTGAAGACAGATTACTCCAAATTTCGTGGCTTAATGTGACGGAAATTCAACCCTCACAGTTATGGGGCCAGAAGTCTGAAATCACTAGAGCAGGCTCAATCTGGCAGATAAAGTACCTGGTCCATGTCAACACAGAAATTGTTATTGTGACTGTCTTTCCTAGGTAGAGCTCAGACCTGCTAAAATGTGATTTGAAGGAAATGAGATGAGGAAGATCAACTAACAGTGGGGAGACTCAGAGCTCAGTTCTTGGTTCTCTTCTGTACCTACCCTCTCTTGGGGGCTTTAAATACTGTCCCTATGCCTGCGCTCCTGAATGGGGAGGCCCAGAGCGGACTGTCCCCCTAACTTTTGATTCATGTATGCAACTGCTCCTCGACATCTCTTCTTGTGTATATAATTGAACACATCTAAACAAACACTTATTTTTTCTCCTCTCAAAGCTTTGCACAGTCAGGTTTCCTTACACAGGCTGATTCGGTGTCCTGGTCCTAGAGGGACACAGCTCTGGAGCTTGGACTCCTCCCCTGTTAGGGTACCTCTCAAAGGGTGATAGGTGTTGCCCTTCTACCCAGCTGTGAGCGTCTAACAGCCAGGCTTGTTTAGCTCACACTGGTATCCACAGCTTCCAGCTCAGTGCTGGTACTGAACAAGGAAAACCTTTATCGAATGAATAAATTGATTTTAAAGAGCCCATTAAAATGTGATATGCAACAGCATATTTAAAAGTCTCTGGCAACACCTAACATTGTATGTATAGGGGGGTGGTGTCAGGGAAGGCTTTCAAGAAACAGAGCTGAACTTTGGAGAGTAAGTTTGCTTTTGGCAGTGAGGCCATGGCACCAGTCCCTGAAGAGGCCCTCCTGCAGGTAGGAAGAACTTGGGCCATGGATCCAGGCAAAAATGCAGAGGCCCTGCAGTCAGGTCAGGGAGAAGAGGTGGGAGAATCTGGTGGGGGCTCAGTCAAGTGGGAATCAGGACTTCATCCTGCAGGGAATACCAGGATGAAAGATTCAAACCAACTGCTTCCCTGCCCTTAGGACCCTCCCACATTCTCCCAGGCCTTCCTTAGGGCTCTCACACAGGCAGGTTTAGGAAGTGAATCAATTCCTTTACCAGACTACTCACAGGCCTGGCAACTGGCCTGCCCAGAAGCTAAGGATAATGTTTTCCTTCTGCCATGGCTCAGCTTGCCAAAAAGAAAAACTAAGAGGACCATAACATGCCCTCCCTCCAGGGCTCAGAGGCATTTCCTGTTGGCAGAGGCATTGCATCCCAGCATTGTCCTGTAGAAGGCAGGACAGTAGCAAGCTGGCCAGTCCCGCAGGAGTGGGCAGCCAGTCATGGCCATGAATCCAGCTGCACTTGGGGGGGCCAGGCCAGTACCTCAACCGTTTCCTGTTCTGAGGACATGTTGTGTGCTGCCAAAATTCTTGTAAAATGCATTGTTTAGGGGACGGGCTTATGGTTACTACTCACACAATAACCTTAAAAAAAGAAAACAACTCCACATCAGTTTGATTTGCCTGCTATAAATAGAGCAAAATCAATTCTGAAAGAAACCATTTGAAGTAAATGGTATTTGCAAATCTTAATCAATCCATTGTGGACGTGTTGGAGTGTCTTGACTGAAGCAGATGGTAAGGCTGTTGGGGTCCAGGGTTCTATTTAAAACTCTAATCAATTTGCTCTTGTGGAGTTCACTTTCTCCTCTCACACCCTCATTTATTATACCTGATGGCTTCAAGTCACTTCATGGTACTCAGAAGCTAGGCAAGGACTAATGGAATGGGCAGATGTTGAACCACTACAGCAAGGAAAGCTAGAATTTTAAAAGAGGCAAATATCAATGAGTGCTGTCTATTAGCAAGGCTACTCACCTTTAAAAGAGCTAACTAAATAGAATTCAGTACAGTAAGTTCTCACTAAGGTCGATAGATTATTTAGAGTAGCTACTGTAAGTGAAACCATGTATAATGAAGAAGCCAATTTTACCATAGGCTAATTGATATAAATAAGAATTAATTTGTTATCACAAAAAATCACCAAACTTCTAAATAAAGACCTGTTTTATATTAAGCTCTATGTTTTATATTAAGCTTTTTAATATAAACCTTTTTTTAAAAAAGATTCATTTATTTATACAAGCACTGGGTACAGTCAGAAGCGCGGGAGGGTGAGAGAATTCACCAGAGCCAGAGTGGGGAACAGAACAGGCAGACGGACGAAATATGCTGCTGAGGGGAGCAGTGGGCGCGGCAGGAGAGGT